GGCTGTGCTGTGTCTGTACCTCCAGGGTCACTGGCAGCTGGAGGAGAGGGCTGAGGCAGCTGCACTCCAGGCCTGAGGGGAGCTGATTCAGCCTGAGGGGAGCTGAGCTGCTGCGCCGGTGCTGCTTTACCCAGGCCTCTTCACTGAGAACTGCCATTTGCACCGAGGAGCACAGGGCACGGCCAGGCTGGGGGTTTGGTTTTGTACTTCCAAGCGATGGGAAGCAGCCCTGGTTTGTTCATGTCTGAGGTTTTCATTGGTCACTGTTGTGCAGCCCATTTTGTGAAACTACTACTACTGCTACCACTACACTGTCAAACTGCTGCATGTGGAGAGATTCAGATTAGTGCTGGTTTTCTTTTAACCACCTTGTTGTGAACCTTGTTGCTTTTCTTTGTGAGATTTAAATAAAGTTGTTGCTGTAATCCTTGCCCTTCTGAGCCCGTTCTGTGTATTTTGTACTTCCCCACTGGGCTTTGGGCACAGATGGGACAATTGCTGGAGTAACTTTGCAACCCTTTTTTACCTCTGGGAAGCTCCTGCGCTCTTGCAGCTAGAGGAGCCTTTCTTTGTTCTGCAGTAAGCTTCAGAGGCCACGGACAGTTCTGAAAAGAGGCTGACACGAGAAGCCAGCAGCTGACACAGTGGATTTATGAAACATACTGCACTCTACAAAATATCAAATTATTTATTTATATAAAATATAATACACAACAATTGTACACATGCACACACCCACACAGTACTTTACCACAAATGTAGGGCAGTTATTTTCTTTAATTAAATGTTATAATCTAGCACACGGTATTTTACAGTAATTTACATTGTTATCTGAAGACACAATGGGGAAGCTTTGATCATTCATTTATAAACCTTCCATAAATTACAAAAAGAAAGGCAGTCTGAAAAGTATGTATAAACAGTAAAAACAATTTACAAATGGACAAGAATTACAAAATAGTAACAGCCAATGACTGCCATCGGTGTGTGGGATTATTTTTTGTGATATGCCAATGTTGAATTCTGATTTGATTGGAGCCTGGAGCAGCCCTGGGTGGGCTGTGCCTGTGACCCAGTTTGTCCTTGCACTGTGGATGGACTTTAGCCTCAGCCTGCCAGCAGCAGTATGAAAATGCCTTTTAACCTAGGACTGAGCCTGCGCAGGGAAACGGGGGAGCAAACGGGTTGTGCTGTGGAGTTGGTTTTTCCCAGTGGCTTAGAGCAGGGAGCCCCGGAACTGGAGGCTGCAGGGCTGAAAGGGGTGAGGTTCTGAGCAACTTACCCTGCCTGGGTCCATGGAGTGACAATGACAGACCAGGACAAGGCTTTGGTTTTTACTGGGGCAGCAAAAACTGAAAAGCGTTCAGCACAGCACTTCCACTCTCCCAGGAGCTGTCAGACATGGATGGGGGCAGTAACTGCATTATCTGGAATTTCGTGGTGGAGGGAGGATGGAGACAGCTGAATACACAGTACATACAAAGGATACGCTGCATATTTATTAGACAGTACAAATCATTGTGCATTAATAAGGCAAACATCAAGGCTGATTTAACTAGGAGTTTCAAGACCATTTTTGTTAATGACTGGATACAGTGGGGTGATCTCTCTGAACTAGCAATCAGTGAAGAGAGTTTTCTCCCCTCACTCATGGTTAAAGGAGGCTAAAGGCTGAGATTTTTCCAATGGAGTTGTAGGTGTTGAGGTGACTTCAAATAAAACCATGTTCTTCTGGTCTTAATCCCACAACTTTTTTTTTTTATTTTTAAATTTTTAAAAAATGTTTTTGCAACAATAAATCCATTTCCCTTTTTTCTTGCTGTTTTGATTAAGCAATTGGCATGATTCTATTGATGTCGAAAATGCAAAGGTCTGGTAAAGTACTGCATAGTCATGAAAGCCCTAGTTTTAACTTTAAAAAAAAAAAGTACACAGACTGGAAGCTTTACAAGTTGTCCAGGAGCACATGACTCATTTCACTGCACCAAGCCTTTTCAGCAGTTTCTTGCCTTTGGAAAGCAGCCCCTTTTTCTTTTTCGAGGCCATATCCCTGCCTCTCCCGGGACTACCAGAGCCCATCACAGGTGACGGAGGTGACCCGGAATGGAGATGGACTGTGGGGGATGGAGCTCTCCGGGGTGTACCTGTATTCTCAGGAGGAACCTATTGGTACATTGTTATCATTTATTCAATCTTTGAACGCTTCAAAGCCATCAGCAGCAAGAAACTTGGCAACATCACATCTCCCATTACCCACTTAAACAAAAGGGCTGGTTTCTTACTCCTCTCTGGCTTAAAGTACTGCGTGGGCTTATGGAAAATACATCCATTTAGAGAAAAAAAAATAGAAATAGAAAACCCACCAATGAAGCCCAGTTTTGGTTATACCTTTTTAAAGGAAAAGTTGGATACACTTGCTTTGCCAGAATTCTGGCCACAATAGCCACAAAACTGGCTTTGGTTTTTCATTTCAGTACTAATAGTACTAAAATGGAGAGGGATACTTTCAGCTATAGATTTAAGAAAAATAAATATGTTAATTACTACAGATTAGCAATCTATAGAAGCCAAACTCTTTTCAGAAGAAATTACTTAAAATGCTACATGATCACTTACTTTTTAATGTCCTTTAAATGCCTTTTCTTTAAAATTGGCTAGCAAACTTTATGTACAGATTAGAGAAGATGGCACACTGGCATAAAAAAAAAATAAAAAAAAAGAAAAAGAAAAAGCTAAAATGAACCTTAATTGCAATCAAAGAAAGCTTAAAGGCCCTGAGTGCTTGATGTGTTTGCTGCAGCTATGAGGTTGTTAGATGACAGCATTCCTAAATATTTTGAACAGCTTTTTTTTTTTAGCCATTAAAAGCACTTGGATGAAAATGCTAAAATTACAAATACTCAGCCTATCCTAACTACAGTGCCCAGCTGGCAAAATGGTTACTATCAATTAAGATGATATTTTCATAGTAGAATCCATGCTGTAGGGAGGCCTGCTAGCTTTTAGTTCAAGTTAAAACATCAGCAATTTACTGGCCTGTTGTGCAACAGTGAGTTAAGCAAAGGGGCTTCAAGCCTACTTTGATTTTAAATCAAGGTCTAATTCTAATGAAAAATAAAAAAAAACAAACCAAAACAACTTGGTAAAGCACCCCAACGTACACCTGAAGATACCAGATATCGAGTCTAATGCATTCATTCAGTGAGCTGCATGTTTCAGGTCGAGACTCTTATTGCATTGGTAAACCAAACAGTTGCTAATATTGCAAATGTACACTCGCTAGGAAAATCCGAGTAAATTGTACCACAGGAGGGATTTTATTCAGAACTGTTGAATAGTTGGTCTTAGGCAAACTGGGGAATAATCGATTGTGGAAAACCCATTTTAAGGCAGACAATTTAAGCAGTGAGTCTGAGTGCAGTGAGTTTCAGAACCAACTATCCCCGTGTGAGCTACCGTCCGTGCCAGCCTCCCGCTGGCTCTGCAGGGGCTGCAGCTGTTGTGCTTTTCTCGTGACACAGGAGCTTGGAATTTTTACATCCCAGCTTGGCTAGCAATGCAATATGCAGCTTTGTTTGGAGGGTAGTTAGACATCAAACTCTCCTCTCTATGTAAACATAAACACTGAGCTCGGGAAGAAATATGTTCCAAACGCTGACCTTCGGAAAGGGAGGGCCGATGATTGCAGAGGGGTCCTGTTTTAAAGGATTTGTCTCCCAAGAAAGGAGTGGCCTTGACTAGGTACAGCAAAGGCATTCAGCCTGTTCTTTGTGGCCAAGGGGTTTGGAGACATATTTCTTTTCTCTTCCCCCACAATTAAGTTTCAAGACTTGCATTAGATAGCCAGGTAGCTTTAATTGAAATCTCTATTGGTATCTTCAGTTGCTCACTTACGTGAAGGCTACATTGCCTTATTAAGGTGTGAAATGAACACTCTTCTTCTGTTTCCAAGCAGATGAGCAAAGAAATAAAAATATATATAAAATATATAATATATAAAAGTATTGCAGTGATGAAACAAAACCAAAAATGAGATACTCTAAACATTGTTAATTCTTTCATGAAAGAGAAGTCTCTGAGCAATTATTATCACCAGTTGGAACAGGAAGTTATAAGGATTAAGAGACGACCGCCGTCAGTCCATCAGCTGCAGTTACAGTTTGTATTTAGAGGAACACTGGTACCAGTCTTTTTTGCACAAGAACTTTTTTAGCAAGAGCAATTTAGAAGCTTTGGGAAATGGCCAGGAAAGAGCTGCTTAAGCTCAGGTTATGAAGGACGGTACTGTAATGACTGCAATCAAACAGCCAATTTAGTTTCTCCATTTACAAATGTAACGAGCTAGCGAAGGCTAAAGTCATTTTCCCTCCTGTTTTATTTTATATATTTGAAAGATAATTTTAAATGGGCAAATGAATTTAAAAGTAATGTTAAAAGTAATGTCTAAATTATACATGAGACAGAATGAAATGGAAAATGAAAATTGAAGTGTTTCTCAGGGGTTGCTTACCCTTTTTGCCTTGGCTCTCATGGGCGTGTCGTGGGCGTAGTGCGAGGGTGCGTCGGAGAGAAAGACTTCAACATCGTCAGGCACTTCTTCGAGGAAGTTGGAAGGAACCAGCCCCTTCTGTCCATTGAGCTCTCCCTGTGGGCAGAGGGGAGGCTCAGCGAGGGCTTCCATCTCACCACATTTATTCCCAAGGGGCAGGGACGTATTTTTCACAGAATCACAGAATTACTGCACTGGAAGAGATCTTCAAGATCATCGAGTCCAACCTGTTCCCTGACACCTCAACTAAACCCTGGCACCCAGTGCCACATCCAGCCTTTGTTAAACACATCCAGGGATCCACATCCACTCCACCACCTCCCCGGGCAGACAATTCCAGTACTTTATCACCCTTTATCAACAATTCCAGTACTTTATCACCCCTTTTTGCCTATTTCAAAGCTGGCGAGGAAGAGGAAATTCCCATCTCAGGTCCCTGGGGAGGCTGAGAGCTCACACAATTCCACGTCCCCTCCCCAGGCTGGTGCTTGGTAGCTGGGGAAGCTGGGAGCAGTTCGGGGTGAGGCAGCAGACCCAACTTACATAGTAAAATCCATCTTCATCGATCTCACCAAAGACAGTGATGATGTCCCCAGTGCAGAACGTCATCTCGGCCTGCGGGGAAGGAGCAGGGACAGGCAGCTCTTAGGCAAAGATCAGCCTCTATTGATAGGGAAACCATTCAGATTTCTCCCCACTCTTCATGTTAAGACTCTGGTGAAACCAAATTGATCTTTGAGAGCCAAACCTCTTGTTTTATCCCTTGGGGATTTTTCCTCAGCTTGCTAAGCCTGGCTCCTGTCCTGCTGTGTGTGGACACCCACAGGGCTCCCCGTGACCAACAGCCAACACATCCAGGCCTTGCAGAACCTGCACAAGCTCTGAGGCTCTGAACTGCAGCTTCAAAGGGCCCCTAAATCCATCCTGGTGAGGGGGACCAGCTCAGGGACAGGACATGCCCAGCTCTGCCCTGTGTGAGGTGCAGAAGAGCTCAGGGAGCTGCTCGGAGTGCAAGGCACCTCTGGACATCCTCCAGCCCAATTCCTGAGGCGCAACATTCCTGCACTGGAGCTGTCCTGGATTCGCTTCAGCAAAACCTTCACAGTGGGCAGCTCCACTCTGATCAGCACACAGTGCACTGGGCTCTTTTAATTGTCTGTGGCTTAAATGTAATTAGGGCGGGGCCTTTAAATTATGTTTAATTTCCTGTGGTCATGGGAGAGAGAACAAACAAAATCTTTGCAATACATCAGCACAATTTATTTGATTTGTTGGCCAAACTACTTTGAAACGCCATAATTTAGAAAAATATTTGGTTCAATAAGAAACAGAAAACAACCCAGGCTGTGTTTTAAAGCACCAAGTCCCACGTATTTCAAAATTCACTTTCTCCTTTAAAAAAATTCCGGAGTGTTCTACAATTCACCAGTTAAAAACAAAACCAAACATTTAAAGGATGACTGAGGGAGCTCCCAGGTTCTGTGCCCCCAGCCCCAGCTCAGCTCTGCCCCTACCTCCACGTCCACGTTGGGGGAGCTCTCCCTGGGGTCGTAGTCATAGAGGGCCACCATCCTCCGGGTGCTCAGCGGCTGCTGGCGGCCACCGCGCCGGCCGCGCTCTGCTCCGGCGGGGCAGCGAGGCAAGAGAGAGAGTTACTGCTGCAGGCACTGCATTACTGCTGCGGCCACGGGGGTTATAGGTGCTGCATTACTGCTGGGGGCATGGGGCCTACTGGTACTGCGTTACTGCTGCGGCCACAGGGGTTACTGGTACTGCATTACTGCTGGGGGCACGGGGGCTACTGGTACTGCATTACTGCTGCGGCCACGGGGGTTATAGGTACTGCATTACTGCTGGGGGCATGGGGCCTACTGGTACTGCGTTACTGCTGCGGCCACGGGGGTTATAGGTACTGCATTACTGCTGCGGCCACGGGGGTTACTGGTACTACATTACTGCTGCAGGCACGGGGGTTACTGGTACTGCATTACTGCTGCGGCCACGGGGGTTATAGGTGCTGCATTACTGCTGGGGGCATGGGGCCTACTGGTACTGCGTTACTGCTGCAGGCACGGGGGTTACTGGTACTGCATTACTGCTGGGGGCATGGGGCCTACTGGTACTGCATTACTGCTGCGGCCACGGGNGGTTATAGGTACTGCATTACTGCTGGGGGCATGGGGCCTACTGGTACTGCGTTACTGCTGCGGCCACGGGGGTTATAGGTACTGCATTACTGCTGGGGGCATGGGGCCTACTGGTACTGCATTACTGCTGCGGCCACGGGGGTTATAGGTACTGCATTACTGCTGGGGGCACGGGGCCTACTGGTACTGCGTTACTGCTGCGGGCACGGGGGTTACTGGTACTGCATTACTGCTGCAGGCACGGGGGTTATTGGTACTGCATTACTGCTGGGGGCATGGGGCCTACTGGTACTGCATTACTGCTGCGGCCACGGGGGTTACTGGTACTGCATTACTGCTGCGGCCACGGGGGTTACTGGTACTGCATTACTGCTGCGGGCACGGGGGTTATAGGTACTGCATTACTGCTGTGGGCACGGGGGTTACTGGTACTGCATTACTTCTGGGGGCACAGGGGTTATTGGTACTGCAGTTATTGGCACTGCATTTACTGCCACAGGTACTGGGGTTACTGCTAAAATTACTGCAGTTACTGCTAAAGTACTGCAGTTATTGCTACAGGCACTGGGGTTACTGCTAAAGGCACTGGGGTTATTGGTACTGTAGTTATTGGTACTGCAGTTACTGCTAAATTACTGCAGTAATTGGTACTGCAGTTACTGCCACAGGTACTGCAGTTATTGCTACAATTACTGCAGTTATTGGTACTGCAGCTCCTGCTAAAATTACTGTAGTTATTGCTAAAGTCACTGCAGTTACTGCTAAATTACCGCAGTAACTGGTACTGCAGTTACTGCCACAATTGCTGCAGTTATTGGTACTGCAGCTCCTGCCAAAGCCCAGCCCTGCTGCAGCTGCTGCTCACGTTCTCCCCAGCAGAGCAGGAGCAGCGTGGGCACTGCTCTGGCACGGCTGGAAGCCGCAGGGGCCGCAGGAGCCCGGGCAAAGGGCGTGCAGCCAGCACGCTCACCAGCTGTGATCACAGGCTCTGGCTCTCTGTTCCGAGGCACAGAACCCTCCCACACTGCCCACAGACTCCACAGTCAGGGACTGTGTTCTGTGCCAGAAATATTTCAGGACACAGAACCCTTTTTTTTTTTTTTTTAATTTTTTTTTGAATCAGGAAAGAAAACAATAAGTGGAGTGGGGAAGCTGCAGGTCCCCATTTGCAGCAAATGCTGTCACCAAGACTAAATATTGGTTGTATAAAGTCATCCAGACACTGACACAGAAAGTATCCCCTGGGGCAGTAAATGACTGTAAAATGTAGGTGGATCTGCTTAAAACCAAGAGGCAAAGTGGATGCAGCCAAGCTAAGAGACCCAAAGTGTGAAGTCTGTGTTTCCCCTTACCGATTTTCTCAATTGGAGTGTTCAAAGGAAGGAAACCTTGCTTAAGGAGCTGATCCATCATCTCTTCATCATCTGCTTGTATCTCAGAGACCATGTTACATGGGATAAGGCCAACCCTTGCACAGGTTTCCCCACGGTAAAATCCATCAGCATCTTTGTCCCCATAAACCTGATATTCAAAGAAAGATAATATTGGTCAAGAAGGTTTTAGCATTTAGGAACTTTAGTGTAGGCTAAGGGTTACTAAAGCATAGATGACAACTGCGGTTTAGATGTGGAATTATATTAATTTTGGACCACTCTGACTTGGGTTATAAAACTGGAATTGTTATATTTATTTGAATTCTGACTTCAGATACATAAGCAGAATTTGGACTTTTTTTTTGTTGTTGTTTTTGGCAGTGAAGGGGACAAAAAAGTACATTAAAAACCATCAGTTTTTGCTGTGCTGAGCCAGATGTTTACTTGATGTTTATGGAATCGTTATGGCACTATATTCAAAATGAAACATTTGCAAAATTGTGCCAAAATATTATTATTTTTATTCAAACAACTTTTATATGATCAAAAATGCTTATCTCATACACAGAGTACTTAAGCTCTGCTATTGTGTTTTGATTTAATTTAAAATCATGACTTAATATATTAAAAAAACCCTGACTGAAATGCACGTCCTTGCAGAGGAAAAGAAACTCTTAAAGTTCTTTTTTTTTGGCAAAAACAACGTAACGTGTGAGGCAAGCAAAACACTGAAGGAAGTGTTTAACAGCACAAAGCCTGTGAGTTGGGTGCAGGCATTTGTGTTAGGACCCAGCCCAGCACAGTGGAAGGCAGTCAGTATTTGAACAGCTCTAATTACAATTTAATCTCTGAAATGGGTGATGTCCAAAGGACTGGGTGCCCTGACAGAGCCCAGCCTGCCCAGCCCTGCTGGCCCTCGGCCGATGCCGTGGTGTTCCACACCAAAGTGTCAGAAAAGGGAACAGGACACCCGATTTAGGGTCTGAGTGCACCTGAAGTGTGTGTTTGCTAGCAGAGCTCAGCATTTAGAAATGCAGCAGCTCTGGCCTGGTGCAGCACCTGCACCTCTGGGGCTCCTCTGCAGCAAAGATGCTTCCTGAAGCAGCTCCTCCTGCAGGGTTTGTGGCAATGCACATAGGGAGCCTCAGAGCCCAGTCTGGGGCTCAACCCAAATCTTTAATACAGACTGGCCCTAACTGAGCAACTTTGAGATTTTTGGCCCTAACTGAGCAACTTTGAGATTTTTGCCCATTTTGAGATTCTCTTAAGCCATTAGCCCTGGATATTAATTACCAGGTCTGGTGAGACTTAGAACCAGAAGCTCTGAAGGAAATCCCCTGGACCTGGGCACACAGGCAGCTTTCCCCGACTGGGAGAGTGGCAGTGCCTCCTCTGCTCCAGGTCTCACCTTAATGATCTGTCCCTCCTTAAACGGCAGCTCCTCCTCGGCAGCATCGGGGTTCGGGGACATCGTCAGTGGATCGTAGTCAAAAAGTGCAACAAATATTCGAGTAGAGAGATCTTCTGTGCCAGCATCTGTTTCAGATTCCTCATAAAGGTCTGGGGAGAGATGGTCATGGCCACCATAGCCGTCTGTGAAAGCAAATTCAGAAAAGAACAATTCAGTAACACAAGTTGGCCTCGTCATCCAGCTCTCCCAGTTACTATTTGAAACATGATTGGCATTTCAGTGAAAAAAAACCCAAACATCACTGCATGTCCCATAAAGCTTGGTGGGTTTTTTGTTGTTGTTGTTTGGGTTTTTTTTAGCAAATTGCTATTTAAAAAAAAAGCTTATAAAACCTGCACTGGAAGTTGGGCTGATTTCCTGTACCAGACTGACATTTGCACAGCTCACGTAGGAAAGCCATTTTTGTTAGGTTTGCAAGAGTTTGCCATGAATTAATGAAAAAAGCAGTCAAGAGAATGGCACGTGAACACAAAATGATGGCTGAGGAGTGGCAGGATGCATGGCTGGATGGATGCCTGGACGGCCAGACTGGTTTCACTGACCACAAAGTAACCTGCCAGCAGATTCCTTCTGAGGTGAGATCCAGCTGTAGCTGAGCTTAAGTGAGCTCAGACCATCTCGAGAGCCACTGACGGGGATGAAAAGGCTCCCAGCAGCGCCAGTGGCTGCTGCTCATGGCCCGGGGAGGCCCCAACACATCATTTCAGCAGAGCTGCCTGCAGCCCATCTCACCCCCTCAAAACCAGGAGCAGCCTGGCTCCAGACAAGTCTGCTGCTCGTTTTTAAGGATTTCCTTCCCAACTCTGAGGCCGCAAAGAACAGGAATGCACGGATCTGTCCAACTAACCAATGGAAGGGACCAACAGGGGCCGAGACCTTTGTGGCACTGCACTGCCATGGGAGGACCTTCGCCCTGCATGCTCCACCCTGTCAGGCCGTCCCGCAGAGGCTGGGTTACCTAAAAGCTAAAAAACAACAACAGAAAGAACAGGGTCGTCAGTACCATGCATGGCAACATCGTGGTTACGCGGCTGGACATTCATCAGCTCAATCACAATTGGAAGCATAAGCTCTAAAGGCAACTAAACTTAGTTTTTAACTGAAAGGTTAGCTGAAAAGTGAGCACTGCTACCGGGCAAACCTGCAAAAGAAAAGAATGGTTCCCTGATTTATGGCAGAGCTTTGTAAACCAGCAGTCACACATCAGAACAAAAAGCAAAGAAAAGAATAATTCTGGAAATATTCTTTTGCCTTTGTTGTTGCGGCTAAAGTGGCGTTTGGGTGTCCTGGAGAGTGGCACGGGCAGGCTGAGAGCCGGGCAGGGCAGGGCAGGGCACAGCGGCAGTCCCGGAACGGAGGTGCCTCCCGGGCAGCCCTGGTGGCCCGGGGCTCTCTGGTCCTGGCCAGCCGTGCCTGGCAGGGTGAGGAGGGCTGCAGGCTCCATCTGGGCACAGCTGGCTCTGCCCAGCACATGCTGCTGCAGGCTGTGCTGCAGGCTGTGCTGCAGGCTGTGCTGCAGGGGCTGTGCTGCAGGGGCTGTGCTGCAGGATGTGCTGCAGGGCTGTGCCAGCTCTCCGAGCTCCTCCTGGTCCCTGGCACTGGCACAGCTGTCACCGCTGGCGCTGGCAGAACTGTTGGGCTCATTCCAGCCAGAGCCGGGCAGCTCCCGGGGCCTCTGCTCTGGTGTG